GCACCCCAAGCTGACGTCATGCTGTCTGGCGGCCTTGGTGACCCCAGGACAGACATGCTGGGGCCTTGCACTGAGTTCCTGGTTGCTCCTGCTTTAGTTACAGCTGTCTGGGGCTCGGGGGTAAGTAGGAATTACGGCCTCTAGAGATGTGATTAGTCGTTAGAGCAGCAGCCACAGGAAAACACAGACCTGGCATGGCCCGTTGGCACAGAAGCTGCGTTGGTTCAGACCCAAAGTTAAAACTTTGGCGGCAGCGGCCGACCCGCCCCCCCCCCTCAGTTCTCCATCCGCTCCCTGCTGACTAGGGTCCCTTCATCTCCGTAGGCCGCACGACGGCCCCGAGGGCGAGGACTTCGCACCCACGGGGGAGGCGGCCGTGGACAGCTACCCCAACTGGCTCAAGTTCCACATCGGCATCAACCGGTACGAGCTGTACTCCAGGGACAGCCCCGTGGTCGATGCCCTGCTGCAGGACCTGGGCGCCCAGAAGATAACCAGTGTGGGTAGGTGCCTCGCTGCACGTGCTTCGGGCACGTGACTAGCATGCAATGGGGCCTGGGGGCCGGTGCCCTGGCTGGAGCATCCCCATCTGACACCCACAGGCCTGGAGGAGGGGACAGGTGGTGTCAGGCCACGTGCAGTTGAGGGGATCTGCACTCAGCTCTTCCCCAGCTGAGGAGGGCACAGCTCTCGCCACCAGCAAAGAAGTGACACCTCAGGGTTGTGCCCCTTCCTCCATGTGGGAGCTCAGGGGAGCATCCAGCGCTGCCTGGGTTGGGCCGCACCCAAGCTTAGCCAGGGCTCTGCCCTTCCGTATGGATGGGCGACCCGGGCTCCGTTGTGCATGTGCAGCCCCGCACTCAGTGGTTGGCAGGAAGCCTTCCTGAGCACCTTGGGATCTGCTGAATCGGACAGAAAGGGCAGCGGTTACTGGTTCTGGGAAAGCGTGTCAGCAGTGGTTTCTGCCGCGCGTGGAGGTCTGAGCCTTTGATCTCGGGCCTTGGGAAGGCCCCAGTGTCTGCATTTGGCTGGAGACACAGGGGGCTGGGCAGATCCCTGGGCGGGAGCACCATTCCTGGCAGGTGCCCGCCAGGTGGGCTGTGAGTGAGGTCTCCACGCTGTGCACAGGGCAGCAGTCCTGGTGCTGGATGGGCGCCAGCCACCCGGGGCTGTCCTGGTGCTGACAGGGCAGTTAGGTGCGGCCTCTGAGACAGGCAGGTGAGCTCCAAGTTCTCTAGAGTCTGCTCTGGGCTCTCTGCCCGCCTAAGCTGCTTGCTGGGGGGAGGCAGACGGGCGGCTCACCCTGGAGCAAGTGGTGGTCTCCTCACCCAGCGTGCTGCCTGGAGGAACCTGAGAGCCACTCCCGTGCCCAGCGCCGCCCCGCCTCCCTGCTGACCCCGTCAGGGTCAGGGCTAGGGCCTTGCTGGGCAGCAGTGAATGGCGGGGATTGTCAGGGAGAGCCACCGCCGGGTGCCCCTTCCTTCTGAGAGGAGTGTGGCTGCTGGGGAGACGTCCGGTGTCTTGCCACCTCCTCCATCTACTCAGCAGACTTTCGTGGGCACCGCCTGCATTTGGGCCCGTCCTGGTGGCGGGGGGTCGAGGATGAATCCACCCTCGAAGTGACTCTGCTGCCTCCTGACCTGAGAGTCCCAGGGAGACGGAAGGACGCATGCAGACCAGGAGCAGATGCTTTAAGCGCAGCATAGACCCAGGCCAGGTGTGTCAGGGAGAAGATCCCACCTGGAAGGAGGGCCTTCCTG